TCAGTTGTTCACTTCTTTCACTATTTCACTCATCAAAAAGGATTCAGTTTTACTTTAATTCACCTTTCGAATTCATTATTATGATATGTTCCTCATAACTTTGTTGTGGGTATCGATTGGATCACTGCGGATAATTTCTTCGATAAAAACTTCATTCATTAGTAATGTTAAAATGAATCGCTATTGGACAGTGGTAATTTTGATAGTCTGTTATAAATTCCAGTTATCATTTATTAGTTTTGAGTCAGTATTTCTTAACATGATAGATGTATATCACTTCAGTAAATTATCTTATGTTCTTGTTGGAGCCTCTACATCAGGGATCTCCGTAAAGGGGATGGGACGGGAAATTGCCCATTTTTGGGTAATTTAGGTTGTCTGGGGGGCATTGAAGGGGGTCGAGAAATTCCTTCTGAAATTATGCGTGGAAATAGTAACATTGTTGAAGGAGGGCTGAGATAATGCGGACTGCCAAACCATCGAAGAAGGTAATGGCTTCTAGGACATTTTCCTAGGACTTCTAGGACATGTCTGATTCTAGGAAATTTTCCCAGTGATTCCATCTCGAATCGATGCACGACTTGCGGAGAATATTCGCTTCAGGTTCAAGACAGAGTAGCGATATGTCACTGCTTGGCAAAGTATTCATGGTATTTTTTTGGCTCGCGCTCATCATGCACGTCGTGTCCAGCCGGAAGGTAGAATGCTATCGATATGCAGAATACGGTGAACGACACAGGTAATGATACTGACAAAGTTAATGGTCTGTGTGAAACTTTACTCAAAGTTGATAAGCAATCACCATTTTGATCATCGGTTCAAGCGCTACCTATTAACGGAATTCATTCAGATCACTTATTTTGCAAAGTCAACAGCCGTTCAAATGAGCATATTGTTCTAATTAATGTTACTACTTTGAAATACCTATTGAACACTTCCGTATGACTTTATCAAATTGCGTTGATTTGAATGGTTTGATTGTAATGACAGTTTAAAATGCTGATCTTTTGAATTATAGTGTTTGTTGAATTCATAATACTTGTCGAGTTTAATACTTTTAATACTTACTTTAATATTTTTAATACTTTAATACTTTAATACTTTTTAATTCTTTCATAATACTTTCATAATACTTCTCGATTAGCCAGACAAATAATTTGATTCATTTGGCTGCTGGCATCGATGCAAAACAGAACCGAATAAATAGTTTTCGAAAGTTGCGATGGTTTGACCATGAACACTGAAAATACTTGCTGGTCATTGAGGAATAGCTAAGAGTTGATGCGTGTTTTTTTCGCCAGAATTATCACAAAAGAAAGCGTTACAACGATAGCATATTGTTCCTTTTCAAACAGATGAATTTAACCGCTATTCAACAGGAAGTTCATCAAGTAGATTTAAGCAGTTTTGAAGGTTATTCGTGGCAGCTTATTGAATGTTTGTTTAGGGTGTCGTGTGAAACGAATGGAGCTGGATGCTTGATATCGTTGAGTGCGGACGGTGAATTCCTGACAGGAGGATGCGATTATCATTGCGATCGCGATCGAGGACCACGTTGTTGGACTGAGGATGGTGAACGAAAGTGTTGCTGTTTCACGCATCTTTGCAATGAAGTGGTTTTATAGAGAGATTGTATCGCATCGTCAATGATCTGAACCGTGATCTGTATTATATTTTGATAATGATATCGCTAAACAATTCTTGTGTTCTCTCATCTTTTATCGTTGGCATGTGCTTCTTAAACGATCAGCACTGCATTGCTACTGAATAAGGAGTCGATAACTGCAGTGACTCAAGATTGTTGACAAGAGGACAGATTAGTTGATTACCGTTCCAGATTAGAAAATCTGTTTAAGCTTTTATCAGCTGCTTTCTTTCTGCTTTGATGCTGATGCGAAATAGAATTGAATCCAATCTAGGAATGCAATTGAATCAAATCAAACGTTCTGTAACTGTATGATCATCACATTGTATGATTTAACATTATTGCTATTATTATTATCGTCAATATTATTGTTATTACCCTCATTATTCTTGTTAGTATTGTCATCAAGTGCAATTAACAAGACACTGTTGTTTTCGTTATGACTTACTGTGATTTCAATACAAAGTTATCTTGCCACACGTTCAAAAATACGATGAAATGCCACCGAAATGGCTATGAAAAAAGAGCGAAGCAGCTGCCAAAATTCACGAATTCGTGATAAGCATTAATGATTTCCACAAGCTAATATTTTAAAAATGATTTCATGGGATGATTTTAGGGCATTTTTACGACACTAACAAATTTGTGATGTTTTTTATTCATGAGATGACTAATGATCCAATTCTATGAAATAAATTTTCAGCATGAATGAAAATAATATCGAGCTGAAGTGTTCATTGTTATCGATTAAATCATCACAAAACCACTGCAATTAAGGAACGATGTTTGATCATGTTCACAACTGATGAATGACTTCATTTGTTTTCAAAAACTAATCTATGAACCCGTCACCTTAAGATAGCAACTGACTTTTAAGACAAACATCTGCTCTGTCTGTATGAAGTAACCTCAATTTCAAGTCTTTAATCACTGAACACTTTTATGATACCACACAATATTGTTATGATAATGATAATGCTATCGCTATCACGATCAGATCAGTGTTGTTACTGTAATGATCATATGATTCTGTGTTGTATAAACCTGCTGTACATGCTATCGTCGATAACATCAACATCAAGCATTCTGAATGTTCATTTGAATAGACTTTAGTAGCACAACCCATCTAAAAAATTTAAAAAAACACTTGCTAATGAAAGGGAATTCAATGAAATCATTTCAAACATTTATTCCGAGTGGGTTAACAGGGAGAGAGAAGAAAAATGAAAAGGAAAAATCAGAGTTTAAATTCGACAATAAGTTTCGATGGTGATGGTGATGATGATGCGAGTGCGTGTATGAGCAATTGAGCAACCAATACTTTTTCTTTTGGAAAAAGATACTTCTGAAACACGTTTTCGCCGGTGTCATTTTTGTTGATTACTTAACAAATAACATCAACAGTTTGGGTTGAAGTGTGACGAGTATCTTCAACAGTAGCTTAGCAACACAACGCTGTGTTACTCACAGTTAGTTTTGGTGTTTTTGAGAGGAGAGCGAATTTTTATTTCGGTTGAGTTCATCATTTAAACATTGTGCGATCTTGATTTCACCTTATCGTCATCTTTACTTCGCATTTGCACTCCTTATTTCGCATTAGTTGTGATTTTTTGTTCCTTTTTGAATTTCACTTCCGCTCAAATTCCCATTGATGTTTTGTTGATCGATAAGATCGCATACAATTAGCTATTGTAGCCTTATAATGATGCAAACGTCTCTGCTTCATTGCTTTTGATGTTTTTGTTGGTGTGGGAGGAAGATGTGATGAAGAAACCTTTTGAATATTTCATTTAACAAACCGATAATCGCACGAAGAAGATGTTTCCTTGTGTCTTGTTGATGATAACTTGAATTCACTGCAAAACTGAGGGAATGTGTTCGGTTTTGTGTGCGATTCGAACGGTGATCTATCTGCACTAAGAATTAGCTGATGAAAACTGTCAATATGTTTCAATGTTATGAAAATTTGAATGGGTCTCACATTGAAAATTGTTCCGTTGAAATTTTTCCAGGCAGACATCTATTAAAGTAAATCTCTTCGGTTCCTGAATCAGATCGTCTACCAGCTGTTTTTCTCACACTTCGCAATAAATCATTTATCAATTCTCCAAAGCGTTCTGCTTTAAATTCATGAATGCCTGATTTTAGAGATGTGTCGATCAATTATTGTTGTCCTGCTGATCAGTTGTTTGGTGTTGATCAACGCAGGTGTGATTAGGCTGGATGGTGACGATGACGATGATGATAGCAATCCAACATCTGAGAGCGACACGACGTCACGATCGAAAGGTGGTGGTAGTCTAAGGGGTAAAGCAACTCCGTCTCCAAGGCCACAGGCAAACATAAGGAAACCGCAACCAAAGCATCTGTCTGACATCACGCCGTCGCCGTCATTCGACGAGATCGTTCTATCGACCGATGCTCCACCTGGTTTCGTGTGTTCAACATGCCTCAAGTTTGTGAAGAAGCTAGCNCGCTAAATTCTCTTGATTTGCTTCAACTTATTCTTTATAGTTTCGAACACACGTCTACGCAGCTCTGCGTTAACTTTTGATGCACAGAAATATTTCCTTAAATATCTTCATTCATTCGGCTATGTTCCGAAATCCAAATTTTTAACTCTGAATCATCAATTGCCGTTAACTCCTTCGAAAAGTTGTTGATACAGTTCAACAATATTCCAGTCTATCGCACAAGTCAGTTCCTTGACAATTAATGAGATTTGACCACCATTTCATGGGCTCATTTAAAAACGAAATCAAGCTTATCTGAGATGAATTTAGTGCAGTATTTTATCTTTTAGGCAATCGCAGGCACATGCGATTCATTCGTTAGCGATGGATTCATCTTGAGTGCTTTATGTAGAAAGTTCACTACAAGTCAACTGCAGAAACTTGTTTCGTGGCTGAAAGAGCATCAAACCGCTGAGAAAATTTGCTCGAAGGTATATTTGTGTTGATAACATTGCCGAGTCATTCATATGATGACGACGTATGATGACTCAGTACAAGATGAGATTGCTCTGAGCATGCACGGATGTCCTATGAGAAGTAGTTAAATAATGCTTTATGTGTTAACGCATCCCAGTTGAATATGCTGGCTCAGAAGGGACAATGAGTAAATTGATAATTGCCTCGACACAATATAAAAATTCACTTGTCTAATATTTGTATGAATCATGACTCAAAGCAATAAACTGTGATTAATGCAAATACCGAATAAATTAGATCACCGTCATGTTCCTTCCGTGTGCTCGATCACAAAAAACGGTGGTGTTTCATTGGTGAACATTTTATGCACGATATCTCTTGTGAGAATCGTTCGAATAATTGATCATAAGGCAGCAGCACATCAATTCACAATCGAAACACACCACACAATCGCAATTATTAGGCAAACGTAATGATCAGACACCTACGATGACAATCGAGCAAACAAATAATCGATGCAAACCAAATAAAACGAAATAAAATCGAAATGAATCAAATTCATGAGCAATTAAAATAAACATTAATCGCAAAAAATGAACAAATACTAAACGACGCATACGTTTCGATCGCTAAATATCCAATAGCCTTCGGCCAAAAATAAACGGAATATGAGAATGTTTGTGAACGAACGAATAAATAATTGCAAGATGTGCAGAGGTAAGGTGATCGCTTGACGAATGCGTACAACGATGAGATGAATGGATGGAAAAAGCGACAGATTGGGAAAAACACTGGAAAATTTCTGTTTCATCGCTCAATTTGGGATTCATTTGAATATGTACTTGGCGTCAAGTACGTTTTGGATTTGAACACCTGAAGGATAAACTCGTAAATCCTATCCAACAATAGAGAATTTGATTAATTCTTTATGGATTCTTCTGAACTTAGTGAAAACATGAGGATGACAAAAATGGTGATATAGGAACTTTACAATGAAGAGATCATGCATTTCATGATGATATGATGGAATTTTAATGTACAACTGAGAGCAGAGGATTGAGAACCTAGTTATAATAACGCAGATAAGATGATATCAATGATAGTTTAAGAGATTAATAGTTAGATAAGACTTGCACATCAGTGGCATCTTGAACATGCTTAGGGGATCTTTCACACTCCAGAAGATTATTAATTTGTAGAAGAATTAAACGAGATGAATTTTCCGATCAGAAACTCCAGTGACATTATCGAGGTTGTAATTTGGCTACATGACATTTTCGTCGTTTCTGGTAGAAGATTTTATTTCAGTCGATACTTCGGATCGCTCGGGAACCGTTTCGTTTTACGGTTTTATCGTGGTGGTGCTGTAAAAGTGCACAGTTAAATTATTAAATTATTTATGACTCAGACGTTTTGCTTCCATAAGCTAACGCCGCACAAAAGAATGAATGAAAACTGTTTCTTCTCAGAATGAATAGAATGATTGAAAACGCTTGTGAAGATTGTTCATCACAACGCTGAATTGAATACAACCACAGCGTTTATCATTCACATTAGGTACCATATGATGAGCAATGGTAACATTCGAATGTATCACGATATTTCAGTATGCAACTCGATAGAGTGATAGCACTCAATTAAGCTCTTCAGGACGTGGCAAGCAAGTATCAATTGCACACCAAATTCACCCAACAATAGCAACTATTCATCACGAAATTATAGTCTCCTTCACGTTCATTACCTCAAAAGAATCGGGAAGGCCATTTGTATTGAAGATCTTGCTTCTTCAGCATTCAATTACACATTGTTGACATTGCAAAAGTCAGATTTGAAGTTTGAACGAACCTCCGGAGAAGTTTTGGTGTAGGACGAGTGGAATGCGCGGACTGTTGTGGCTTTTGAGTGCTTATTTTCACCATTGTCGATGCGATGGTTTGATGAGATTGCTTCGGTTTTCGTGTGGTCGTTCTTCGACTAGATTGTTGCTTGGTTGTGGCTGAGGTAACGACCTTATTCGGCGAAGGTCTAGTTGCTGGGTGAGTTGTTGACCTCACCGGTTCTGTTTGCGAATGAACGGTCGTGTTACATTGTTCGCTGCAACGAGTTCACATTAAGTGAGCAATTCTCACATCAAACAGACTACTGATACGCTCTCATCTAATCGCCGACTTTATCGAAGCTGAACCGTCAAGTAAAATTTGACTCACACTAATTGTATGTATGCAAATGTGCTTTTGAGATTAAACAGTGCTCATATGAGAATTCAAACGAGTTGGACAGATTCTTCGATTGGGCTCTCAAAGCAAATATGAAGTGATAATAGGTTCTACTACTCGATCGTGGTCTTGGCTGTTGTTGAAGTAGTTGCTGGTGTTGTCGCCGATGCGTTATAGGGTGCTTCACCAAAGTGCCTGACAAGCTCACAGAATGTCGGTGAATCTTCCTTGCTACAAACAGCGCTTGGTTGGGTAACGTTCTGGAAAATTGATCTCAACGTTAAGCAGCATGAGAAATGTGTGTGTATGTGCAACTGGGTTGACTTATAAATTCAACAATCTGGAAACGTTACACGGTTTTTTCGATTTTATAACACCGCGTCAATAATTCATGAAGAATTCTGAATTCAGCCTCTAGCAGGAGGTATGGATTTGTCGAAAGTATTGATGTTTGATGTAATGAAAAATTGTGATGCTAACTCAAACAACTCACGTCAAGGCATGCGCAAAAAGTATCATCGCAAAACGTTCGACCCAACTGCTTATCATAGCAATCATCATGCGCCAAACAGCAACTGTTAATGATCACTGAAAATCTGCTTACATTGCAATATTTGCATCAACTCTCGATGCAAACCGATGAGTAGGCAAAATAAACGATATTGCTCATGAAACATTCCATTCGCTCGAATCATGCTGTTACGTTGGTGATTAGTTTTGCATGAATAATGCCGCAAACTTTCACATCCTCGCTCATCAATTGTGCAAATATTGCGATTTTATTTTGTCTTCATTCTCGCATTGGCATTGCAAACATTTCAGTTTGATTTGGGACAATTTCGATGCAACGAACAGCTGAACACTCAATCAACAAGGCGATCAGTGTTCTTCACGCACATCAAATATGTTTCGAAGAGATGCTTGGTTTCCAGGCATGAAAGTTGCTCCCCTCCCCACGTAATAAAAACACGAATGCCAACTATTTCCATACTGTTGAGACACTGAGAGAGTTGTGAATGAAGCTGAAACTGAAATTTGTAGCTATGAGATGGTCATAGAGGAGAACAAATACGAGCAGGAAGATTGGAACCTTTAAGTTCTGGGCAGTCTCGATCAATTGTTGATTCGCTGACCAATTTCGTGAAATAGTCCGTGCCACATTCCCAGTCGAACTGATCGCTGTAGTCTTCGTCATCGTCTTGTTCGTCCCAGCCCGGCTTGTTATCGGAATCCTTTCCGGAATCTTCGTTCATCGATGAATTTGATTCTGCAGCTTCTGTTGTCACTACTGCTACTTCTGAAATCCAAATTCTAAAGTGTCTTCAAATTATAATGCATCCTAAACGGGAAAAAGGGGTGATGCACATAAAGAGTTTCAAACGACCGATATAAACGACTGATGTATAATGACAAACTATGATGATGACCCATGTGAGGCTTGTTGGAAAACTAAACTTAACGACAGAGTTTATGATAAATGCAAGCACAAGCCAAGCAATAGTAATAAAACCAGGTGGAATCGCAAAATTAATATGTCAAGGCAAAACTACATGTAAAAGAAGACTCAACCTCGAGTTGAGTTCTCTGTTCGTGAAGCTTCGATTGCTTTTGCAGTTGTTGTTGGTGTTGGTGTTGGTGTTGCTAGTGACTGTGTCGTTGTTGTCTTCGATTGTGGATATGCTTGAATTGATGGGTGATTCGCTGTTAGGGTGACGAGAAGAAGCAGTAGTGACTGGGACGAGCGCATCGCTTTCTGAAATTCAAATCCGTCGATCTGATGGCGTTAATTCTCAATCAATGAATTTGCATGCTGCACGATAATCCTTGATAATCGCTCTCAACTGAATCCCTATCGGCTGAGTGCGATTACTGGCGATTATTATAAAACGTGCAAACATGAATGAGCCTTATACAAAGCGAACACAGCTCATTCGTATCCTTCAGCATGATGAAGTTGACGCTATTTCAACTTCGAATACACATTCATGTCATATCAACGCATACAACAAATATCGAGATGCAAGATACGTAACTTGAAAAATCGAAAATGGTGCACATAAATACAAGAAATATTATCACATGCAGATATAGCCAGCAATGAATTTCTGATGAATGCTCATCGATGATGAGAAACTTCCCAGTGAAGAAGCATGAATAAATTAAGTGCGTGATTATGATGCGAAAGAAAGTCACCGATTGAAACTTTGCAT